ACAATGTTTTGTTACAGCGAGAGCGCTGGAGCCGGGGTACTGGAGCCGGGGTACTGCGGTGGTGCCAAGGCATGGCACCACACTGCCCGCATCGCTGCCCGCATCGCTGCCCGCAGCTGACCAAGGAACCTGGAAAACGCTGACGCCTTTTTGACACCACTCCTTCAGTCCAACAGCAAGAGACAGCCAACTCTGAAGCAGGTACTGACCAACCCCGACTTCCTAAAAGTTGCCTTCGCAAGATTTTTTCAGCACATAAGCAGTTCTTCAGTTGCCGAAGCTGAGGGTAAGACCCCATCAAGGCTTTCACTTGGGTCTAGATTAACACTGGACTCAACCGGGTTCTCTCCCCTGCCTTCACCCCTCCCAAAAATACAGCAACGCTTCTTCGGTGCCGGCTGATGGGGTCGGATACACGCATTTCCAGGCGAGGGATGGGAGGCACCGTAAGGAGAGGCCATGCCCCCGGCGCTGGGTCTGGTACTCCCTGGAGATGGGGCATCCAACAAATTACCTTGCCTTGGCCCCGCACAGCCAGAAGCAAGGGGGGTTATCACGTCGCTTCCGCAACTTTTAGACTACAGCTACCACGTTAAGCTCGAAATAACTGTCCTGGGTGTGTTTGGTAGAAAGGTGCTATATTTTATGGGGCTTGAAAGATGCAGTGCTACTAAAACCCCATTTAATTCTGACTACTCTAGTGCAGTTCCACATAGTCAACTACTATTAACATTAAATTTTAGAAATGCTCCTAAAAGTAGGCCCTGAAACATGACAGCCATAACACCTTCCACTACAAGGCCCAAAAGTGGAGCAACTTTGACTTCTTTTTATTTTATAGCTGTCCTGGCTTTCTAGAAACAAGCACCACGTGGACAGAGCACACAAGTACACCCAGCCTCAAACCATCTCCTCCATCCACCTCCTTCGCTCTTGATAAATTAAGATAAAGAGGAACCCACCCCGTGGACAGGCACGATGCAAATCACAGCAGCGGGGTTCCTGGGCGGGTCCTAACGGCAATCCCATTACCAACGCTCCAAAAGCCGCTCCTCTTCCATCTGAACCCGTGTCCTGCTTCCCAGAACTGGTGAGACCAGGAAACCCCTCCAGGTTGATCTGCAAAGCAGGGAGTGTGCGCGTGGTGGGGAAGGGGGGAAAATGATGGGAGGGAGAGAAGAGAACAAAAACAACAAAAAAAAAAGGGGGGGGGAAGGAAAAAAGTGGGGCTGGCCTGTTTCTTTCTTCTCTACCATCTATTCAGTGGCAGCAGGGGAGGTCTACAACTGTTGCGTCACGTAAAGCACAAAAAAACCTGACAAGCGTGTTTTAGCTGATGGAGACCAGAGTGGACAGGAGACTGGTGACAGCTCGAACGCGGGGAGTAAGAGACCCCCACTTTAATTGGCTGTTTCTTACTATCTCATCAAGCGAGCAGGAACATTACAGCCTGGATGGGCTGCTCAAAGACACAAGAAATGGCAGAAATTTCAGCACGTAAATACTTTAGCTAACTACTCAGGTTAGACTCTCACTCCGGTCCAGGGATACTGAATTTTTAACCCTGCCTGATCCACAAAAACCTCCACCAAAGGGAAGGTGCAGAAGGAGGGGGAAGGGGGGAGTTAAACCACAGGCTCTGCAGGACCTGGAGAGGTGTTTATAAATAATGCCATTAAAAATAACACACTGCACACTCGCATCTCTAACATAGCATTTTCTTCTCCACAGAACTGTGACAATGGTTATCTCAGTGGTACCATTATCTAGATTTGATGACAGATTAAAAAAAATATATATATCCTAAACACCTGTTCAAGAGTTTTGTGTTTTTAAAGGCCATTGCCATTAACCTTGGGCCACGCACTTCATTGTGTTTAATTAGCAAGCTAATGAAGCCAGTTTTATTCCCTTTCTCAAGCACAAGAGGATAAACACAAGACAGTGAATGAGGAGACCAGATCCATTTGCAGCACAGTTCATTGCTGCATGGCATTACTTAGACTTGCACCAAAATAAAAGTAATGGCTGGGGAAAATGTGTTAGCAATGCATTCTGCAAGACAAATCCTTTTACACCTTCCATATTTTCTAAAGCTCATAGATTAAAACATGATTTCTGAACATTTGGGCTGCAGAAAATTTGCAAACAAAGGGCTAAAAATGAACATAATGTTTTCCTCAATGAATCCTCAGTATTCCAAAAATTAAGCATAACAGTTTGGTTTGGGTTTTTTTGTTTTTTGGGTTTTTTTTTTAAAAGAATAGCAGCCCGTGCTTGCTTTGTTACAGCCAGCCAAGGTAGCGATGAGAAGCATCAACAATGGAGGTCAAGCGATTTTCGAAAAGCCCACCACTTTCGCACAGTCCTAACATGTACACACACAAAAGACGTACTTCAAGCAAAGCCCAGTGCTATGAATCCCAGCAACACATTGCAACTTTGGGTATTTGAGGTTGATTTCTTTTTTTTTTCTTTTTTTTTTTTGACTGAACAGCTTTAGGAAAAACTGGACAATAAAGATCACGTTGATAAATACTCGTAAATATCACAAGAAAGGCAAAAAAAGCTTTAAAAGAGAGGGAGGGATTTACAGAATTGCTAATGCACCGATTTAATGATCCAGGAGGACCTTTCCAAATAAACAGAATTATATTCATTTTGGGGGGGTTTCTTTATTGTATTGTCAAGGGGGGAGAAAAAGTCAGCGTAGGTATGCCCTACCAGGTTATCCTTTTCATAACATGATACATATAAGAAGCTTGCAGGGTTAATTTTTTTTAAAGCAATTCCTTTTTTTCTCCAACTTAGATTTCTACCACTGTATGCACACAGCCATAGGATCAGGTTAAAAAACAAAACCAAGCCAAACAAAAACCCAGCCCCGTACCCAAAACAAAAACAAAACAAAAAAAAAACCCAACCCCGTAAGCCATCTCTTTTATTGAATCACCCGAGATAAAAGGATTCCAAGATATATGGAAAGAAAATACATTGACCATAAATCTCCTTTATGCAGATAATAAAATTTTCCAGCCAAGAGAGCTGTTGTGATGATAGCAACGCCGAGCACCACGAATACTGATGGCACACACACACACACACACCCCCCGCCTGCTTCTTCCAAAATACCTGCTCTCCCTCAGCGCTGCTATGTAAATACAAGCCCGCACAGCCCCCTTCCTAACACATGGAAACAAAGCTGCGCACAAGTGTCCCAGCGATCAGATAAAAAAGCCCAAGCTGGCTTTGCTCACCATCAAATTAATTTATTTGATTTTTTTATTTTTTATTGCCCGCTCCCTTTTTATTGCCTTCTTCC